ACGGCCGGACAAGTTATTGTAATTTTAGATCCGACTGCGTCTTTCTCCCTACCATTGACATTTGTGTAGGTTCAAAGCCCGCTTCAGGTGCTTTCTCTTGGTAAGATGAGAGAAGGTCAGCAATGGCGGACGTAATCTGGAGCGTCTGCAAAGCGTTTATAATGCTAATAGATCGAACAAAAAACCAGACTCCCGACATTGTCTAAGGCGTGTTTTTTCCTTGTGCAACGAACCTGACCCACGGGTCACACAAAATTGTGTTTAGTCATGTTCGAACCATACATTCTTATGAAACAAGAACGCCTCCAATGTGGTGAGCTATATCCGTCGATAATTATGTTATCTTGTTTGCTGATATTGTACGATGTAGGAGTGACACTACTATCAGCAGTGTGATTCCGGCTTGAGAATGACCACCATCATGGGGCGATGATATCATTGATACCAAAATAAAAACAAAGGGAGAGATTTTTTTTTTTTTTTTTATCAGTGGTTGTAATGGTCGAGAAGGTCGAGGAGGCTGCTTGTTCGTGAGGGCTACCACCAGATGAATGAGCAGATGGAGCGCTCCGTGATAGAAGATGTAAATGTGCCGTCTTTCCTCGAAACATCCCGCACGCTGATGTTGTGCGCTTGCGTGTCCCTGTAACAATAGAAAGGCAGAACGACACCCATAATTAACTTGGAAGCAAAGGCATGAAACTCTAACGGCGCTGTCTTTTACTATGGAGGTTTAACCTGCTGCCCTCCAGCTACATGTGGCATAACATAACGCTAAGCGGAGAAATAGTTTTTTGTTCGGAAAGACTCGTTATAGTTTCTGTCCGTGTGAAAACGGCAGGTAGTATCTTTCAGAAGGACGGCCTTCAGAACGCTCTCCTCGTGTTTTGTGGTGGACACACGTAGGTGTAGAAAACGGTGCTAGTTGGTACTGACTCGTTATGAAAAGCAGGGCATCTAAACGACAGTGGCAAAAGAAAGATAAGCACATCCATAGAATAAAGGTGGCTATGGTACATCAGACGAGCGCTGTTTCTGTACTCCGACAATCCTTAAGCTGAGACTAGCAGCTCCGCCTTCAGCGAGAGCTTTCTGCCCCTGCTAACACAAGTGTGGACGAGCAGGCACGCGCAACCAAAGCACTCCGGAAGCCAGCGAGCTCGCACTGAAGTCGGAGCTTCTAGTCTCAGCTTAAGGGTGAACGGAGTATAGTAGTGCTTTGGCTGCTCGTGCGCGCTCGAGAATCACGAGAGGGCCAAGTGCTATCGAAAGTACGAAGCTCGTGCAAGAAGGTACGGGCAACTGTAGCTCATCCCTGCTGTTCCCATCCTGTCAGTGATTGTAGGGTGCTCATCGTCGTAACCTGCACTGAAAATGTTCAAGATACTCTATGTTGAACATGCACCATCCGACCATGACAGGTACCTAATGAATTCCTCGATAGACCTTTCCAATAATCGCCCTCTGTGCGCGGCCATCTTTGTCTACTGGGCCGTGGAAGGCATTCTGAGCATGCGCAGTAGCTCTCTTGCGCAAAATGTGAGACGCCACACATGCGACCACAGCCCAGTGGCTCAGCATTTTCCGCCTGGGTGATGAGCGCTGGAAAGGTCTATACATCCTGGGAAGTTCCAGCGTGTATAATGGCCCGCTGTGCTTTCGGTACACCAATCATGTGCATCACGTTTCTTCTCTTAATTAGTTGAGCTAATCAGGAGCTGAACCGGTTTTTCTCACCAGTGGGGCTGCAGTCTCAGTGACAAAAAAAGTGGCTTTTTCTTTTTGCCGAAGAGACTTTATGCCCATCGGAGCATGACATCGATGGCTTATTTCTCATGGGTAGAACCGACAAAAAAAAAGTCACTTCTCACATAATTAGTTATATTTATTCAGTCATACGCTTACTTGTCTATTTCATTTTTATTTCATTATATTTCATGTCAATGCACCATCACTGTTGGACCAATAGCCATGCATGCCACGCCCGGGTTCAGTGACAAAATAGGCACCAAGACGCAGCGGCCAAAATAAACAAAGCATGAAATAAAAAATATATCATCCCCCAAATTAAAAAAAAAAAAGTAAAGTCAGCATCATGTTCCAAAGTATTTGTGGGGCACTGTGCATGCAGGAGTTTGCGAGAGCACATAGCCACAGGCAGCTTAAGAAAGCAGGACGTGGCGAGTCCCACATCTCATTATCGCTCCTCAGCAAATACGATTGCAGCATTAGCCAGTGAGAGACCCGAAGAACCAATCACGCAGCAAGATGAATCATCATAATAGGCCACGCCCTGCCTTTCATAATAACCTGTCGATGACTATGCGGAGCAGAAGTTCGTCTGCTTCTTCTTTTGCAGGGGTTGGGTAACGTCAGAACGCCGAGCTCTGATTGGTTCTTGTTAAAGGACAGTGGGTTGAACTCAAGGTCTGCACACTATCTTCCAATCAGAGCCAATCAGAGGTCGGCGTTCTGACGTCACCACAACCCCCTGCAAAAGAAGAAGCAGACGAACTTGCGCTCCGCAAAGCGTGTTCAGACGGCAAAAGACTAGCCATTAGGCAGCTCTAACATTGGTAACTCAATCGAGTCCTTCCGACATTGGCAGAAGTAATACAAACGCTCCAAAAGCACTGTCGCTTCCAAAGTTACAGGTGGCGATGAGAAACGTATCACAGTGTCGGTGAGTCTGAAAGCAGTCACCTCATTCTAATTTACACCTGGTGTACATGTGTGCACTCCAGTGTTGGAAAAAATACTCGATAAAAGTATTTAACTTACTAAATACCTGCTTCATAAAGTATTTATGAAGCAGGTATTTATAAAGTATGCGTTTCGGCGCTGAAACAAAGGGCTAATCTACCTTTATTAAAAGTCAGGCGCAAAGTCTCCCGTCTTACCTTCATTCACAATATTTATTACTATAATGTTAGCCTGAAGGAACTCTTATTACCTCCCCCTCATCGCATCTTTCCCAGACATGATCACCCTCACAAAATTCGTTTATCAAATTGTCGCACTAACCAGTTTCGCAACTCGCCATTACAGCTTGCCATTGCAGAATGGAACTCTTTGCCCTACCACGTTGTAGATATCATAGATAAAAATGAATTCAAATCATCATGTGAACGTTTGTTTCACTTTTCCATGGAATGAATCGCGGGATGGTGTCTTTCTTGTTTTTCCTGTGCAAAGATGGTCTTTTCTCTCTCTTTTTGTAGCCTGGTTGGCACGTTGTTTCCTGTTTGTGTAAGAGTGTATTCCTTTCGAGTGGGTGTATTGCATTGTTTCTTGTTTATTAAGCAAATATGTACGATATGTCTCGTTTTAATATTTTTGTCGAAAACCTTGTGCTCCCCCCTCATACAATGCCCGAAAGGGCGCTTTGAGGTAAATTAAATAAATAAATAAAATAAAATTTAAAATACTACTAAAGTTACATTCACTGTAAAGTATCTTGAGTAGAGTAGAAATACTTAGAGACGTAATTCCATTACTCTTGAAGATACTTCCACATTGCATAATTTGTATCGAGGTCAGTGGCAAACACATTTATACAGTTGCGCAACTCTGGTTTGCTAGAAGGGTTTATTAGCACGAAACAACACAAAACGGAAAACAAACAAACAAAAAACATCGTAGGGCTATTTTATGCAGTTGAACCATCAGAAGAAGAATTTCACTGATACAGATTGCAAAACATTTTTAGGTAAAAGAAACAAAGGGTCGCTTTAGCTATTCGCAGCTTTAACGAACTATAATGGGCGCGCTAGTGCCTATCAAAATGGCTGTCATCTGGATGATCGTCGTAGAACAGCGCTAAGAGGCGGATCTGCAAAATTCTAGTTTTGCTTTGAATACGAGCAGACTTAGTTTATTGTTTCCCGTGAGGAAGGTATAGGCAAGCACCTCTCTTGTGAAGCCGATCATCCAGGAGCTAGGGAGCGCGATTCCCACACCGCGGTACCACCATCGCTGAAAGGTGCGGATAGTGACATCGCTGAATGCGCCTAAGGTCCTGCGGCGGACCTTAGTCGCATCGTTTAACTACAATTCATATTCCTTATATGGGGAGTTCACTATAAACGAACTTGGGATACAGAAATGAGTGAATGGATAACAAAGAGAGCCCACATAATAGCCATGGCACTCGTCGCGCCTTCTTCTATTACGTTGCGTTCAGAAAGGCACTAAACGTTGAGGGACGCTTTGTTGGTATTTTGAGAGGTCATCCCACTCGTAGTTCGTTTGCGGTCCTGTTCTGTGCTCATCAGTGTTTGCTTACAGACAGTGTTCGCGAGAGCAATAAGTGCCGGGCTGACGACAAAAAAATAAGAAAGAAACAAAAGAAACCTTGACGTTTTGCCGTAGCAAAATTAAATATAAAACAAGCAAAAAAAAACATTCTTTTTGTGTTTACTTTTCGTTTTCTTCTACTTGTTATCTTCTTCACACTGAAGTCTGGATTGTTGTCGTGGGTCGTTTTCCGTTCTGCGGTGCGCTTCAGTGTGGCAATCTTTACCTACGTAAACCAGCCCTTTCGTTTGAGAAGTTTTTTGGGGGGGAGGGGGGGGGGAACTCTACGAAAGAAAAAAAAAAGTGCCTTTGGGAAGGCGAAGGGGAAAACCTTCATTGTACGAACTTTGGTATGAAATACGAGTATCGGCACAAAAGCGATGTTTTCACGAGCTCAATCTAAGTCATCGTAGCTTATCGGAGCTAGCCAGACGATTTGGTTGCTCGAATGAATGTTCAAGTTTGCTCGCGCCACGCCCATGCCACTTCATACAATATAAAAATCTTAAAATAGCGGAATGTCACAAATGTATTTGAGATAATGATACAAAGATACAAAGGTACTCAGAAATGTAATTATAATAATGTATCAAATACTCTCGATCAAAAGTATTTGCAAGATACCAAGACACTTTAAAAAGTATTTGAGATACAGTATATCGAGTAGAGTATTGGAGATAGGCACAAGTCTAGACTGTACTCACGTATTCAGCACGATGAAGACGGTGGCGTTTTCGGGTGTCTTGAAGGCCCCGAATTCAAGTTTCCCACGCTGTTCACCGGCCAGCCTCGAATCTATCCTGACGCTTCCTCGTGGAAGAAACTTCCTGTTCACAAGGCAACAAAGAGAAACTGTTCAAAATAGACTGCGGTGTTTTTTACAATAGGATGAGAGTGAATGGCTTTACCGAAACCCACGTGGTAAAGTACACTGTAAAGCCGCGGTAACACTACTAATGCATTAGTCAAAATACAGCCTGCAGACACTCTTTGTGACCAATGTGACTGTCACATTGGTCATACAAAAACTGACCGAGGACGTGCTCTAAGCGTATATATGTACGAAGCCAACACTTTTCGAACATGCCTGAGGCCGCAGATAATTATGCCATCATGACAACAGCGAACACAACGTGCTTTTTGGTATGGTGTACGAGCACTATGGACTTCAAGAATCTGGTGCGTTTACTTTCTCTCAAAACACGTGGAAGAGCCAATAGGTGCAATCTTCGGAGGGCGCTCGGCGAAGGACCTGCCAAAAGATACAAAGAAAAAAACAAAAAACAGTCCGCTTTGTGACACTGGGCATGATGTTTCAATTGCTCACATCATTCGCCGAGTTTCCTTCGCAGGTTGTAGCCATTGGATCTTTCAAGTGACTTGCAGGAAAGTAAACGCGATGGATTGTTTAGAGTGTAGAATAACGAATCATTTTACAGTATGGGATTCCCAGTTACAATTGGCACTTACGAGAAATGCGCCAACGCGTAGTACATCGGCTGCTTGAAGAATTCCTGCCCAGTGGCGTTCACAATAATGGGCGAGTCGACAAAGTTCTTCACCCAGTTGGGACCTCCTACAACATCCAAGGCCAGGTTCCAGTCAACCCAACCCGTGGTCCAGTGTAGAAGATCCTAAAACAAAGATTGAACAGCCGTTCAATCACGGGCTACTACGAGTCGAAACTGCCTCTTATCCATTAGTTTTCATGATCCCTCAAGGAACATAGCAACGCCGGGTCGCTTAGTGAATTAGCTAGCCGTTATCGGCGGATTAATGCTGCTTGGACGGTGCAGTAACAAGTCAACATGGTTCAAGTCGAAATTGTCTCGGTCAAAATGGCCCCGCTCAAAATGATTCCCTGTCAAAACGGTCCTATAAAAACAGTCCCAAGCACAAAATCAAACACAATGGTTGCAACAAAATTTCGGGGCGTTGTTCATTTGACCTTTGTGGGTTTCTAGGTCGCTTGTACTTGACATAGTTTGAACGTATACGAATATAAACTTGTAGCACAAATAGTCCAACCATAATAGTTTGAATAGGCAGTCCAAAACCTTTAGGATTCATGTTGCTTTGGTTCATCAGAAGTCTAAGAAAATTTCGCGCATATTAGTTTGTTATATTAGCCTTCGGATTTTCATCGCACCTGAAATAGGGAAAACAGAGATACAGGAGGAGACTTGCTTTTGTTAATGCCAAAACGTTTCGTGGATCACTATCTATCAGCCAACCGTCAGTTAGTACAACTAATTTTAACTTTATTTATTTATAAATAACTAAATGCACTAAATTTGCTCAGAATGAATATTGTCTTTGCTAATGGCGAGCTTTGAAAAATTATCACTAGATTCCGCCAAGGAACAGTACAGCTACCTTAAAACGATAATAGACTTATTACACAGTTTGAAATAGAAATTTTTTTAAGAATATATAACAAAATACTTCTAATGAAAGGTATATGCATTAAGCGTGTTTGGAATTATTTGTCAAATTATTAGTTCGCTGGAAACATTCCAGATTATTTAAGGTCTTAAATTCACTTCGGAACATCTTGATGGGGTTTGGAATCGGGACAATTTTGTCTGGACTTGTAGTTACGTTCAATGTGCCATGTCCTGGCCATTGTGGCCAGGCCTAATTTCCTTTGGAACAATCTGTGCGGGTCCCGTTTGTCTGGAACCCCCTTGACCGGGACCAGCTTGTCTTCCTCGCCCAAAACCCGATTTACCTCCAGGATGTCATGCGCGTAGTTTTCAGCCCGGTCCCAACTGCCGAGGATAACATGCGCCTTGTCCCAGGGCTTATCGCCTTTGCACGCCTCCGTGGCCAGGATGAACTTGTCGGGAAAGTTGTCATGGGTCTTGTCCAGTACCCCAGGCCCGACGAATTCGTCCGCGTACCAGTGCACTGCAACACCCTGGACGTACTTGGCCGCATCGGCGTCCCCTAGAACCTGTGGTCAGGCACGAGGACAGTGATGTGCTCAGAGGCATATCCGTTGAATAAGTTCAGCGGAAATCGCCAAGCGACTAGAACCGGAGGGAAGAGAAGAGTACACCAAAATAGAACTCTCAGTGCCTCAACATGTACAACTTTCCAGCGCTTATCACACAAGCGAAAATTGCTGAGTCAGTCGCCTGCAATGGAACGCCCAGCGTCTGATATTCCAGAGAAGACAGCCACTGCTCATGGGCGTACCAATCGGGGGGCAAGGGGGGCGCTCGCCCCGCCCCCCTCCAGTTCTCAGATTGGGGGGGCAAGGCATGTGTTTTGCACCCCTCCCCCTCCCCCCCCCCCCCCTTGAGACAGCCGCCACTCGGCAGGGCAAACACTGGCTGGCGGCGCCTAAGGAATACCAAGGGCACCGCCCGCCCCTCCCGGCCCTGGGGGGGGGGGGGGGGGGGGGGGGGGAGGGGTCTGGTTTGCACCTCCCCACCCCCCTACTCAAAAACAAGTTGGAACGCCACTGTCACTGCTCCTAATGAGGATGCGCTCCACAGCTCATTAAACGAGGATGCCAGCGCGCGGAAGGCCATTATTGGAAATGTCTATTGGGTCTTGGCTTATACTGTAATAATATTGTTTTGTAAGTCCGAATAAACGGGGCAAGTAGGGGGACAAAAGAGGAAGAAGAGGACAGCGCCCAGGGGATCTCAAAACGTTCTACATGTAGTGTTGCTTGTTACCCGGTACGACCGGTACAATCAGGTAAATGCTACCACATGGTGTCAGAAGTGCTCCGGAAATGGAAGCCTCATCGAACTCGGAGAACGTAACGGCCCCAACAACACTGCTAGCAACGGGTTTCACGGCGCCGGCACCCTTTGATTTCAAGCGCCCAGAAGAATGGCCAAGGTGGATCACCCGTTTTAACAGGTACCGTAGAGTTTCGAAACTCGATAAAGATGACGAAGGATCGCAAGTAGACGCATTAATCTACTTTCTCGGTGAGGACGCGGAAGACATTTTGTCCGCCTCGGCTTTGACCGACACCGAACAGCGACAGTTCGAAGCAGTTGCCCAACTCTTCGAAAGCCACTTCGTCGGCAAGAGAAACGTTATCTACGAACGGGCCAAATTCCACCAGAAGAAACAAGAGCCGGGTGAATCTGTTGAGAGCTTCATGACTAGCCTGCATCGCCTAGTAACACATTGCGGCTACGGCGCGTTGAAAGAAGAACTCGTCCGCGATCGTTTTGTCGTTGGATTGCAAGATTCTTCGCTCTCAGAAAAACTTCAAAGCGACCCAAATCTGACACTGGAAGCTGCGTACACTCGAGCTCGACAGAAAGAAGCCGTGCATCGACAGCAAGCCGTCGTCAGAGGCGAATCCCTAGCAGAAGACATGACGCTGGATGCCCTCCACAAAAGAATGTCAGCAAAAGAGAAAGGCGCAAAGCGGCGAAAATACACGCCGAAAAACGCTGAAAATAATGCGGCTAGAACACAGACGTGTGGAAGATGTGGCAACAGTGCACACGAAAAGTCCAAGTGCCCCGCAGCGGGATCAATCTGTCGCAACTGCGGAAAAAAAGGTCACTGGCAACAAGTTTGCTTTAAGGAGCTTAGGAATGAGGGCAAGAGCACCCTAAAAGAGGTGACTCTACAGGACCCAAATGAAGCGCCAAACTGGATGATCGGAAGCATCCACGCAGCTGAAGGAAGTGCGTGGAAAGTCAAACTGCGAGTCAACGGAACGCCTGTTACGTTCAAGATAGACTCTGGTGCAGACGTCAGTGCCATGCCTCCAAGCACTGTCCCAAGCAAGGTGACCCTTGAGGAGACAGCTGCCAAGCTCTACGGTGCGAACAGGCACCAACTCGAAGTGTTGGGCAAGTTTCAAGCGACAATACAACATAACAATAAGTCTATAGAGCACGTGATCTACGTAGTGAACGGCCTGGAAGAGCCTCTTTTGGGAAGAAAAGCCAGCAGCGAATTGGAGCTGATCCAACTTCTGTGCACAGTCTCGGGCCAGACAGCCAAGAGGTACCATGAACAATACCCTGAGTTGTTCCAAGGTCTCGGAGAAATGGCAGGAGGGTACAAAATCAAACTCTCGAAAGACGCCACGCCAGTCTCCGTCCACACATCACGGCGTGTACCCCTGGCACTGATGACGAAAGTACAAGAGCAGCTGGCAAGCATGCAGAAAGATCGAATCATAAGGAAAGTTGAAGAGCCTACACCATGGTGTTCTGCAATGGTTGTTGTGCCCAAGCCGAACGGAGAAGTACGGATCTGCGTGGATTTGACGCACCTCAACAAAAACATAGAACGCGAAAAGCTAGTTTTGCCCTCTGTCGAAGAAACACTGGGACGGTTGTCACGCACATCACTATACACAAAACTAGACGCCAAGTCCGGATTTTGGCAAATGCGGTTGGCAGAAGAGTCACAAACTATGACCACTTTTATCACACCTTTTGGCAGATTTTGTTTTCAACGATTGCCGTTTGGAATTTCTTCCGCCCCAGAGTATTTTCAACGAAGGATGAACGAGATCCTGGAAGGAGTCCTTCCAGGATTCACTGGTGCCAACGAGAAAGAGCATGATGAGAGGCTAGAGGAAGTCCTTAAGAGGTTGAAAGCAGCAGGTGTCCGACTCAACGACAAATGCGAGTTCAAGCAAAAGTCCATAAAGTTCTTGGGACACATCGTCCCAAGACAAACCAAGTAGGACGCTTCATCCCCCATCTTTCCGAAAAATTGAAGCCTCCGCGTGACCTTCTCAAGAAGGCAAGCGAGTGGACGTGGGACACTGCACAGAAAATAGCATTCAATGCAGTGAAGAAGGACATCCAGGAGGCAACAGCCCTAACACTGTATGATCCGCAACAAGAAATTATTGTTTCAGCAGATGCTTCGTCTTACGGTTTGGGGGCAGTGCTACTACAAAAGGACAAGAACGGAAACATTCGACCAGTAGCCTTCGCTTCGAAAGGACTGAGTACCACAGAAACAAAATACGCACAGATTGAGAAAGAAGCGTACGCCGTGACATGGGCATGTGAACGATTCGAGAAGTTCCTGCTAGGTACGCAGTTTCACATCCAAACAGATCATTGTCCACTCGTACCTCTTCTTGGGTCCAAAGAACTGGATGCGATTCCAGCCAGAGTTCAGCGATTCAAACTGCGGCTGATGAGATTCTGCTACACAATCTCACACGTGCCTGGAAAAGAACTCTGGACCTGGTACACAAGTCCTGGGCATGACATCATCTTTATCGGGTTTTCAAACCGCCCCAGGTGGCAAACATGCTAAAATTCGACGACTTTGCGTGGCAAAACAGAAAACGTCTCAATATTTGCGTAGACGGGTCGCCAACCCGAGGGACGCGCTAGGGGCTATGCAGAGCTAGACACACTGCCGTGGTGGCACTATATAATGATGATGTGAAAGGGGGAATAGACGGGCGTTGTCATCGAGGCGGTACTGCTTTAACCCTTCCTTAAAAAAGGATTAAGCAGCCACGGTCTGAAGATACGGGATCTAACACTGCAGAAACGCCTCAATAAAATGATTTCAGCTGAAGTTCTTAACGTGAAGAAGATTTGAGCAAAATTAATTCAGTTCTGCCTGAAACAGAGCGCAAATCACGCCCTCTATGTGACTGGTGGCCGCAGAAAAAACACTTCTGGTGTATTTTCTAAGCGGACCAGGCGAATTTGTTTAGCGGCCACCAGTCGCCTTGAAGGCGCTAGTTTCACATCATTTTAGATGAGACTCAATTTATTATTTTTGTTCATCATGCAACCGGGCCATTAAGACTCATACGGTCTCAAGCTTGAGCCAGTGTTGTACACGTTTCTAAAAAAAGTGACGAAATCTCGTTCCTCGTTCCTTCATATTTTTGGAACGCGTTCCCCTTACAAGCTCTATCTGTCAAAAAGGAACTCGTTCCCGTTACATTTACAAAATGAAACGTATCGTTACATACACGTTACATTTGTATTTTGCTGATTACCATACTTAGTTAAATCAAGGGAATGTTTCTTTTTTTTTTTTTATCGCATCAAGTTGGAACATACGAATTTGGATACCGTGATGGAAGAGCACCTGGAGTAGAAGACAAGCGGAAGCAGGGTTTCATTTGTTGATATATTCACCTTTAAAAATCTCAGTTTTTAACCATTTTCATGCTTGTGGTGGGCGATTCAGACGAGCCAAATGTACCCTTACCCCACATTGCACGAACGATTTAAGACCTCACACGTTTCAATCTAACTAAATCCCTAGTTCGAACTTAACAACCGTGGCTTCTCGATGTTGCTATCCGCCAGACGGACAAATGAAGAAGGGGGTAGGGCTTTTGGAAGATCAGTCTTGAAAACTACAAGTCCTTCTTTCGTGAAGGTTGGATTCGTTGTTTAGTTCACATGTGAGGAACAAGGGGAGAATAAAAAAAAAAGGTTAATTTTTGCGTATCCTTTAAGTGACCAATGTTCGGGATACAAGGGTGCGTTCGATGTCTAGTAACCTGTCCTTTTGTTGTAACTGCAGGTATCTTTGTGGAAGTTCAGTGATAACTGTAGTCGACCTAACATTTCGGGGTGTATGAAGATTCTGGAAACAAAGAAAGTATCTGAGTTTGAAACGTCCCTATTTCTGTGTCGTTTCCTTCAAATAAAAGTTTTTTCTTTTTTACCGCAGCTTTCGGCACTGAGAAAAGAATCAATCTCTACTAGCTCTACTGCACCCGACTGTTTTAAGTGAAGACCACACAAAATAATCCCTAACATAAGTAACCAAAAAGTTAACGAGATCCTGCTCTTCGTAAAGATATTGTTTTTATACTTTTAGAATATCCGTCTTAGAAATAAAATGAAAATCACCTCAGTGGACGAAAAAATGGGAACGCCGTTCATTCTTTCGTTCCAGTTAAAATGTAAGGAGTTCCTGTTCCAGTTCCATCGATGCCAAATGGAACGGCGGCGTTCCATCGTTCCTCCTAAAAGGAACGTGTTCCAGGAACGCCGTTCCTTGGAACGCTTTTTGCCTACAACACTGACTTGAGCACGAAATTACTTCGAGCGCAACCTTTTTAATGGGAAACAGTCGCAAACTCATTATAATCATCATCATCATCATTATTCAGAAGGATCCACTAGAAGTTATCACTGCAGTACACCATGCAGAAGAATAATTTTTACAACACAAATGGAAGTATAGTCTCTTTCTTGATGCACGGGCAGGGACACTTGGAACAATGCAATAAAGAATTCCCGCGCAAAAAAACCCGGAGTCCGCTTGTGCTTGTGGCATAAACTATTCATCACGCAATGATCGACTGCCAAGTTTTGAGGCCGAAGCCAGAAACGGACTTGTTCCCGGATTTCCTTGGCTTTGGGGCGGAGGTGGAAGCCAATGTGGCCTATAGGATGGTGCTACCTGAAGACTCGAGAGGATACCGGAATGCACCAAAAGAAGATTAGGGTACTGGTGACGTGTGAGCGAGAAGTAGTGAGGTAATTATCACGCAGTTGATTTTGACTGGAGCAGAGCATATAGTCCGTCCACCCGACACAAAGGAAACATTCACCAATATCCAATCCAATCGAAGTGTAAACAGAAAATCTCCGCCATTTTACGCCATCCCCTTAAGGACGTCCAGGTGCAAGGTCTATTCCGCGGGAATTGCACAAAATGGCTAACGGTTTCATTAAGTGTAAACGGGAACCCTCGTGGAGATTGGAAAGCCTGCGAACTTTCCTGTATTTTCTACACACCTAAAACACAAAGAAACGATAAATTAGGGCGTGTTAACGGACCAGAGCTCGAAGAACGTGAAACAAAAGTTTGCGCTGCTAATTCCCACCTCCGTCTGTTTTGATCTGGATGTGCATCATACCGGCGTGCGGTCGTGCATCACTACTATGCAGTGGACGTTAGAGACCCCAGGCTATCTGTCGAACTGCACTGGCTAAATTTCGTATCTCTAGTGGCAACACCGCACGCCCATTGAGGCTAGAAAACTTACAACGTTGGCCCAGTTTGGAAGGAGGTTCCGATTGTCGTCCATGATCATCAGCGTAAGGTTTCCTGGCCCGTAGCCGGCGTCCGCAAGCGCCGGTCCCAGGTCCATTTTGATAAAATCTCGCTGGGAGGACGGTGTGAAGCCCATGCACTGGAACGGGTAGTGGGGCGTAAAGCCTTCGTTGGGTTCGTTTTCGGCCGTCAGGCCCCACAGGCGGATGCCATTCTTCTCGTACTCCTGCAGGAACCTAGACGGGTAACTGTGATCAGTCTGCGCCACCCATTGTCTCAAGTAAGAAATAAATCTCCAGATAGTCCTCTCAAGCTAATCTGTCCTGACATGGCGTCCGATGCCTACGCTGTAGATGCGCAAAATAGTGGCGGAGACTACAGGACAGCCGGCAGGTACGATAATGGTTCGCGTCCTGGTCTAAAGCGGTAGTTGCGGTAGTTGAGGGCCATGGAATAAAAGTTTATTACGAGGAACACATTGACAGCCATATCTTGCTGTTATTGAGTTAATTATCTCAGTATTTCAAGAGTAAGTAGAAGAAACTCTTGAGTATCTACAAAGGTAATAGAATTATACTTACTGGTTACTTTCCGTAACTGCCTATATATTTTATGTTTTAAACATTATTATATAAAGGAATATATTCATCTGAATTTAGGATATATAAAAAAATAAGGAAGACAGCGGGATGAGGACGATTCGTCACATGCGCACTCGTCACAGGACGATTGGTCACAGGACGATTCGTCACATAGGAACATTCGTCACAGGATGACTCGTCATGCGGGCAACTGGTCACATCGATCGGGCAGGGGACGATAGTAAAGTGTAAATTTCAACAACTGCCCACATTCCCTGATGAGGAGTTTCACGATTACCCACTGTGACATAAACCAATGGTTAGGAAAACTAAACTCACAATACTCATCCGCTTTTCTTTTCATCATATTACGACTCTTCAGAGGGTTGATTTAAGTTGCTGGCTTGAACGAGCAATAATCCGACTGGCAGTTAAATCAGTTTTTACTTTGCCTTGCATACACCTTTTCGAGAAAACCAATAAGTGTCGGAATTATTTTTGCTGCATGTGTGCGAGTACCCCTTGTGCAGCTGCATGGCTCCATCTCTCTCTGTTGCGATCATCTCCATCTTTTTGAATGTAGTCAGAGTTCAAAAATAGTCGCTTTTATATGGCCTCCCCATTCACCGTTCGGGACGCACCCAGAAGCTAAAACGTCTGTTACAAATTCTTCGACCTTGAGAAGCGAAAGACATGCTAAGATAAGAGGTGACCCACATTGTCAGGACGAACCAACATTCAATGTTTGGGACCGAACCAGAAGCTAGAACGTTTGTTACAAATTCTTCGCCTTTCAGAAGCCAAAGACATACTAAGATATGAGGTGAGCCACTTTGTCCGCCCGAACCAAACTGAACAATACATTTTTGGGGGGCGAATTGTAGGACCGGTTGGCCGCGTGACGAGTCGTCCTATGACGAATCTTCCAGTGTGACGAATCGTCCTGTGACCAATCGTCCTGTGACGAGTGCGCATGTGACGAATGGACCGTATCCCGAAGACAGCTGCAGTTAACAAAATAATGACAGTAAGTTCCGGGGTCCATAAGTAGTGTTCCTTTAAGATATGCACTCACGACAAGACGACAATTAACGGTGATCACGTAATATAGAAAAGTGATCGCAACAGTAGCGGTCTTCTTTGAGAACATTGTTCAAATATACTTCTAGTAATGACGCAATAAAAACAGCCTGTTTTTGACGGGAAACCTAACAGTGCACATATATCAACTACTTTTCTCGATAACCTGTACGGCGAGACTACTGTCCACTTTTATATAATTTTCTATCAAGATACTGATCACAATTTACCTTTGTCAAAATCATAGTTGGGGGTGGTTACTGGCGGTCATATCTGAGCTTATTGCAGCTGGGCGCATGCTGACTCCTCCCCTACTGAACACTTCCGGAGCTTACCTTACACACATTCCTAATTTCGGCTTGAATAGTCGATCAGCAGCAATACGCTGTTAAGAATATACTCAAATATGGTAACCAGTGAATACCAACGATACGTTGCAATTGCTTTGATATACTTCCCAGAATATTGGTGAATCTTCAAAATGTCCCTGTCGATGCAGAAGAGCTGAGTTCAGAAGTATGCCACCTGAACCCAAGTTCAACGTCGGGTCACTGAGGACGGCCTCGATAACGTAAGTCTTCCCTAAGGCCGTAAGTGCAGCCTAGATTGAGCCCGTGTGCATGAGAACGCACCTTACGAAGTACTTGGCCCAAGCCTTGTAGTACGGTCCCCCGGGACTGCCCTTGAGTGTTCCGGCGCCGTACAGCTTTCCCGAAGTCTTCATCCATGCAGGGCCACTCCAGGGACTTCCGAAGATCCAGACGTCCTCTTTGGACATGCTTATGGCCTTCTTAATATAAGGAATCTGGCGGTACATGATTGGTCAGAAAATAAGAAAATATGGTGGCGTTCAGTATATTCTCTTATGCACGCTGCCTGGTACGCGTCTCCAAATGTTGGTCTAAAGGCTGGTTCACACATTTGAGTTTAAGTGTAACCGAATTCCTTGTTCTCGCGTGCGACGAGAGAACACACTGGCACACTAGCGCCCTCTATCTGGCACCCTTAGAACAATTCGGACCTAATTTTGTGGGGCGTCATTCTTTCAAAGTGGGCCTGGAATAATTCTGGCAATTTTGTAAGGGACTATTTCACATCGTGCGTATATTTGATCTTGCACTTACTACAAGACCTTCCGTCTAGTAATACGAGGGCCTGAAGTATGCAAGCAGTGTTTACTGTTTTTGTCGCTTTTGTTTATCCCAGTAGAACACGTCCGCAATGCTATCATACATACAAATCTTGAAAGAATAAAACAGAGAGGACGAGGACGGGAACAGGACATCTTTCATGTCCTGTTCCCGTCATCGACCTCTCTGTTTTATTCTTTCAAGATGTGTATCTCTTAACCAACAGGCTCGTTTTCAAATGCTATCATAACATTTACATTGCGCCGACACTTGCAGACTTCGCACGACCCTCGCTTCGTGACTCCAGGGCCAGACTGGCATCAAGACGACGTCACTGCGCTGTGCTTAAGACTTCAAGGTTTTCATCCTCGTACTGTACTTCGTTTAAGCTAAGTCCAGACGCAGCCGACGCTACGAACCAATGGCACCAATCAAACAGTTTCAAAAGCGCAACTCACTGGACGTTTTCTGTTTATGATTGGCACAGCGATGTTAGAACGCGTACAGAAGCATGGCGAGCACTATGATGGTGCGCTTTTCACGCTGCCTGATTGGTCTTACCAGCTCGTAGCGTCGGATACGCCTGAACTTCAGATGAAACGAAGAACAAGAATAAAGGCTAAATACTATTTTTAGAAGAAAACAATCGAAAACACATCCAGCCGGCTTAAGCGTAGCACGTTTTCATGCGGGACAGGGCAGTGAATTTACTCGCCTCAAATTGTAGACGTATACAGGTACAATCAAAAACAGAAGCAAGAACTTAGATTGTGTCAAACCTTCTGAACTATAAAATTCACTTGAAGGAGCGATGCAACGAGTTTTGTACTTTGCGCAAATACCGCTCAGAGCAGATCCCTGACGTTAATGGCAAGTGAAATAACAGATCGTTTTTTTTACCACACGCAGTCGAAGTCACAGAAAAAATTAAATAAAAAAGAGCAGCGTTCACCTCCTCAACTCGCTGCCAGAACAAGCGGCTACGTGATCTTGAGCCAATTATATGCCGCCAATGTTGATAATAGCCACGCGCTGGAGTTGGCAAGGCACAGGACACGCGCTGAGTTCTAGATATTGTTATAGTTCGACTATTGTCGGTCATTGCAGTGATTGGACACGGCCACTACCCCAGTGCTTATCGAGCTATCGATTATCATGAGCCAAACACGAGTGCCCACACAATGCTCGGGTCCAATCTATGAGCCGCATTTAAATATCCTCACTGGAGGATACCGCGATCCCCCAGCTACGTCATCAAGTTTCGCGAAGGAGAGATTGAATAAAAACGCTCGCTTTTGTCCTTGAGATTACACCTTAACAAAGGAGTTTCTTGGCTGGTGGCGTTGCGTGCGAGTATCCTTTAGTTCCACTAGTGCCCGTATGCTCGTGTAAAGTGAAAGTACATTCCAATCGAATACTGTTGCACCACCTCTTTAAGCACATTTCAATATGTAATGACAAAGATCGTTATAAGTACAATAACAAACGACAATAAATACGAGTACAGACATTCACACAGTGTGTCATCGTTCAACTGAATGATGCTCTAGTCAGATCGTACACAAGATTAGCGCAATGGACGAACACAGGAAGAAGGAACTAACTGTGTAACCAACTAGGCCATTAAGTTATTTTGTTCCAGTGATATAGGTTGGGATAATTGAAACTTTTTTATCTTTTTTTTTTCTTCATCTGCTTCTTGAACGACAGGTTAAGAAGATCATAGGAGGTATAGAGCTTCACTCAACATACAACTATCGTAATCTCTAAAGATGGTAACAAAGTGAGAACGAGTCGGTGCCGTGATGGTTCACCTTCAACGAGAGGTCTTCTGTAGTGAGCGCAAAGTGCGTCATGTCCAGGTCTCCCGGCACGTCGTTGTACGTGTACAGGCGGATCGAGAAATCACAACTCGCCATGGGAACCCTGCCGATGTTGTAGGAGAGCCCTGCAGGGACGAGTCAAAAACCAGTCAGGTTCTATTAGAGTCACTGAGAGAACTTCGAAAATGTGAAAATGGGACGTAATCGCCGCTTTCCATAAGACTGCAACATTAGCCAATAAGAACAGCGAAGAAGGAACCATGAAGCAAAATGCCTAAACATAATGTGCCGTGCCCTCCTTTTTTTTTTTTAAGCTGCCAGTACATATATTATTTCTAGGTGAATGTGTAGCGCAACAGGGAATATCAACGGAGTAGAATGACGTAGTGTACGCATCTTTTTAGCAGCCTCATCGCACTTCAGGAATGGCCAATTTAACCAAAATGGGGGCTCATGATTATAATGCCATTAAATGCAAAGGTGCAAGCGAACTGGACAAGTTCAACACGTTCAACAAGAAATATAAAATTGTTTCATAATCGAGATGAAGATTTCTAAAAATTAAACTTTGACTGCTGGTTTTAGAATAATCGTAATTTAAATACATCGAAACTATTTTTATGTCTACTAAAAAGTTTGGCGCATGCAGATAAAAATTTCTATCAGAAAATCTTTATTACTTACATATTTTCACCTAAAATAGTCTCAAATCAACTATCGGGATTTGTTCCTGTATGTCCACGACGTAACAACTTTGTGAAAATATTGCGGATACTGTTTTATTCTGAAAACCCGTTAACCATCGAAAACGACAGATGTTCTTTGTGGCTGCGACAATAAGATAACGTAATGTTAGATTAAATTTCGCAAGATAATTGTTCATAGCTCGACTTTGTTATGATACCTTCAATGGAGTAGTAAGATTTCAGTATGTCTTCCTGTAGCTCCTCTGGGAGCGACTGTAGGTTGATTCCTGCTGCATCGGTGAAGGCTCCTCCGAAGCCAAAAATGGACTGGTACTTCTTAGAAGAATCAATAACCACTGACACTAAGTCGGCAGCTTCGTTCGGCATTCCTGCGAAAGTGAGAAGTAGGCGATTATAAAATGAAGGGAATTGAGATTCTTAAGCAAGCTCCTACAATAGCTCTAGCCTTCTGATTGGCACATTCAAAATAAACATGAACAAACAAAGAGTCCTGACTTTCTCAGCTCCTAGTTTGCAGAAAATTATTTACTATAAGTAAGATAGACACTGTTTTTTTAATCCCAGAGATTTTTTTAGTTATTCTTTTAGTTTCTTCTGAAGCTCAGAAGCTCAGAAGTTTATAACTTTATGACAAATTACGTCACTGAAGTCGTAATTAGCTTAGAGCAAACAAAAAGTTGCGCGGAGCTCTCAGGAAGCTAGTCTCTACAATCTACGAAGAAAAACTCGGCAAACGACAATACCGTAAAAACCTTATCAGCAGAAAACGTTAAGCGCTGATACATAGCGTGCTCACGTGACATCCAGCTTCATAACGTAAGTTTGATGTTTATGGTTCCAAAGATTTGTTTTCTCCATCCTTGTCATTTTTTTTTTTTTTTTTTTTTTGCAGGGCACAATTTTTAGTTCTGTCAGTTATCCAAGGAAAAGGCATACTAACTTAAACTCTTAATAGAGGACGCGCTCATCTAGCGCCTTAGTAGGCTCACCCGGTTCGTCGAAGCTGAGCCTGAGAGTGACCTTGTCGAACCTTTTTCCCGCCTTGTTGCTCTCGTAGGCGGCAACCACCCCGGGTTGCTCCGGTCGAACGGGGCCGAGAAAATCGCAGTGCGAGGTGTCGCAGACGCAAACCACGCTGCCCTCACCATAGTCCCTCGGCTTACACTGTAAAAGGACACCTAAAGGCAACAAAAAAAAAATAATAAAGAGGGCGGTAACGCTTTGTAAACAATTGCAAAAGAAGAACCCAGGCAGCACGCAGACACTGGGCCAGCGTAGGGGGAATATTGTGCACAATATTGGCCCAATTTCATGTTTCACTCCACGGCCCGGTGTTGGGTCGATATCGGTTCACGATCGTTCTAAAAGTAGGCCAGAATCGGCGATAATATTCGAATTTTGGGCAGGGATGGGCGAATATCATAAACAAAAACATAAGGGTGCAGGCGAGCTGGTGAATATTAACCATGTTGGATTAACCTGAGACTGGGGTAGAGAAGAAATATCAAAACATAGAAGGGACAGATAATAGACAGGACGACGTCGTCCTGTCTATTTTCTGTCCCTTCTACGTTTTGATGTTTTTCCCCACCCCAGTTTCAGGTTAATTCAACAGGGCAAATATCGGTTAACATGGCCGCGGCCGCTGCGGTATCAACGTTCAGCGGACTTGGGCCAAGCCAACGTTACTATAGAATTAACCGATCAGTTGGGAAACTGCTATAAAGGCTGCTCTGAAAAAGTGACACCGATCCGAACTTGAGAACCGAGCTAATAGCGATCACAACACCGCCATTTCTCCCTCACCGGCCACTCGAGGAACTGCACGTGACTTCTATTTTGGCTTTAATCGGCAATTTCTACTCCGAAACAGATACGGTGGAAGGGGCTTCAAGGGTGCCACACCCGACTCCCAAGCGGACGCGCCTCAACTTACTGCCAAAGTTAGGATGCGCCTAGGTCGGGACGCGCTACCTGAAGTCACCGCTGAGACATGGTTGTCTAAAAACAATATTAATTGTGCCGTAAAACCTTGTAAACTATGGATTCTAGAAAACATCGCGCGCCCCCCGTTTTGTACTAATCTCCAATAAAAGCTACCACAAAAATAGTTCTTTCCGTTTGTTTGTATGAAAAAATCCAGTTTCAGCCGCTGATTACCCGGCGCGCCCTCGGCGCGGCCTGTGGCAACAGCGGCGCCCACCGCGATTGGCCGGCGCGATTGACCGCGATTCAGTATCGTTTTAGAAACGGTCAAGAATTCCTAATCCCGGCCGATATAGCCGGTTCAGATCCGACAAAATACCGGGAAACGGCGCTGGATTCTGTATATCAGCGTGGCGTTGCCCGTCCCAAGTGATGTTCCGCCGACGTCGGCTACATCACGGTAATACTGGCCCGATTTTTACGAACCATCGATGTCGGCAGTATCAGAATGATAATGGCCCGATTTCTCCGATCCGACGCCAATATTGGCGCAATACTGTGTGCTGCCTGGGCAACTAACAAACTTCATTAGACTTTCTTGGTAACGCGTATCACACACATTGGGAACAAAGATCTTATGCAACGAGAAACGGAGGGAGAGGAGGAGACGGGAGTGACGTCAGGACGCCGAACTCTGATTGGAAGGATTAGTGGGTGGAGGGAAAGCCAGCTGCCTTTGTCTCCGCCCCCCGCCCGAACGCGTTTGACGATTGCAGCGAAGAAAAACGCAGCTAGCTTTGCGTCTATCCACGAAGCATTCCAACCAGGCTTAAAAGTATACCGTTACGTGTAACGGATTCCTTGAAATCTGTTACTTTTTCAATTAATTTTTGCAATTGCCATGTTACTTTTTTTAGCGGCAGTAATTTGTAATGTAATTTCGTTAAAAATATTGATAACGGATAACTTTAATCGCTCGTCACTTTTTAAAAATATGATCAACTTACAGAAACTGGAGCAATATGAGCGAGCAATTCAGAGGCCTAAGGATGGCAAGTTCAACTAATTTAAATAGAAACCATCGTTAAAAAAATAAGCAAGAAAAAAACTTTTTTTTTTTTTATTGACCGGTCATTAGAATTACTAAAAAGACGTGCAAGGCATATACAAATATGCAAAAAAACAAAGATCAAGAATACAATGCCAAGCAGACTCTGCTTCTTTGCAACGCCTTCCATCGTGTTTTTTTTTCTATTTTTTTTTTTTTTCTGGGAAAGCCTTTAGTGTCTAGTTCTGTTCGATTTTTACATCGCTTGAAAGGCCCGTTTCAAAAGAGAGCTTTCGTAGATCGGTTCCTTACCTCCGAATCTCCTGGCGGAGATAGACGCTGCTATGGGCATGCGCACCGCTAGCCTTGTCTGCAGAATTGCAGGGATCATTTCCGGTCGCCGTAAGCTATAGATGGCGGGTGTGCTTGCAAATTCCACAGCCTTGTCAGGTTACAAGTGAATGGCGCGTACCCATTCTTTCACTTTAAGACAATATTTTAATGTTACAATGACTACCATAATGCGGGCGTATGAGAAATGGAAAGTAGTGTTGCGGGACGTTTTTAAAAACATCTAAATTTGTTCTGTTGTTACCTTGATAAGCCTTCGGGAAAAGTAACGTGAGAGTAATTTGTAACGTAACGAGTAGTCATCCGTTAATTGTAATCCATTACATTTTTAGAGTAAGACCACAAGTCTGGTTCCAACCAGAGCTTTGTGTTTTGACGTCAGCGCGCTTTCTCTTCTCCTTCACTCTCTCAGTTATAGAAGACAATGAGAAGCGAAAAAGCACGCGCCTCGGAGAGGACGGAGACTCTCGAAATAGCAGGCTCAGAAAACTGTGGTGTTTGGCCGCAAGAGACGCAAACTTCGCGTTTTTCTCCTATAGCTATGGCAGGGTTGTCTTTCAGATGCGTTGCGTATGACGATGTTCGTATCATTGACGTATAAAATACGTACTAAGTTTCTCCTTGTAACATTACTCCGAAGCAATGTGCAAAACCTTTTTTCCACAAACGCCTTTACCACAATAGAGCAGGAAAGAGGCGATGTTTTCGTAAAACATTAATCAAAACTGCAGGCAATTTCTATCCATGGCGGATTGTACAATAAAAAAGCGTGTCTTTTTCTTCCTTTCTTTACTCTTTTTATAAGATTGGGCCTGCCTCAATCTCTCATTTCATTCGGTTAAATATTACAACCAGTCCAAAAGTAGAAGTGTCATTACTTTGAGAGAACTGAAACCTATCTGAAGGACAAAGACAGAGGGCACGGCGGGACCGCAATGGCAACAACGCTAAACCCGTCTATCTTCTTTGTTCAGGTCACGCTGTGTGTTCTGACTTAGCAAGTACGGACCGCGCCCAACAATAGGGAGTTTTAGTAGACCGTGTTTCCCCCTCCGCTAGCCCTCCGCTACGAAGAAACCGCTACTGCGCCTGCGCGCCGATGTCCTTGGCTGTAGAGTTCCGGGTAGCGGAGGGGCTTAGCGGAGCAGGAAACACGGTCTACTAAAACTCGCTAATGAGGTCAGCAACTTGAACCCGCCGGCAGTGAGCACCAACTGTGTGCGCATACCCCGGAGCGCACCATGAAACGTCACCAGCAAATCACGATTTGAAGACGAGAGGATCGCGCCTTGGACTTCCTCAGAGAACACGGCGGGACCGCAATGGAAACAACGCTAAACCCATCTATCTTCTTTGTTCAGGTTTGGGAGAAACATGCGTTTTGCTTTCGAAGCGATTACAGAGGTATTGTTCTTCTGCCGTGACCGGCCAAAGTTGAGTGAGTTCTTGTGGAGGCATGGAGTATCATTTTGATCCTTCTGTCTGGGGACGTCGAGCGAACTCCTGGGCCTCAGGGAATAGAACACCTGAAGGTGATGAACGCCATGCTTAACTCACGGAATGACCTTAAAACGCGAATTGTTATCCTGGCGGCTTTTCAAGAAAAACTGGAATGTCCAGTGAACGCTAGAATAGGTGAAGTAGTGACAGCTCTACAGGAGCCTAATGGAGATGATGATGAATAAATCTTTATTTAGCGAGCATCAGATGCATATCTTGGGCACCCGCCCGGTGGAGGGCATCCTTAGTCCGGGATACCCTGGCTGCGGCTGGCTATCCGGGCCCTCGTCACCAGGTCTTGCTGGATCCCAGGGTCCGGGCTGGTCAGACAGGCCATCCACTGCTTGTAGGATGGGGAGGTTTGGGAGTGAGGTCCGGGGTTCGTTTGCATTCCCATACCTGGTGGTAAAGGTTGCCGGGAGAAGGACAAAAATTAAAGTTGGCGGGGTATTGAGCGGGATAGATGGCTTGAAGAAGGGTGCTGTGGGGATATGTGTTGGTCTGCAGTCTTCCGAGGGTGGTGGCTTCATCTCTTGATAGTTTTGGGTGCGGTGCCGGGTATTTTCTTCGGTCGTGACGGTAGTGGGCTAGTATGTCGGCATACTTGATGAGCAGGTCGGTCGTGGGGGCAACACGTGAGGTTGTTTACTCTTGGGTAATGGCCCGGTGTGTATGCGCGCGGGCAGCGGCATGTGCCACCTCGTTACCTTTGAGGTGTTCGTGTCCGGGTACCCAGACGAGGTGTACTTCGGGGAGCCGGGGGTTGGTCTTGAGGATGCGAAGCGCTGTTTTGGAGATGCGCCCTGTAGGTAACTCCGACAGGCTGCCTGGGAATCTGTGAGCACTGTGATTATATCGTCGCCTGTCGTTGCGGCTAGGGCAATGGCAATTTCCTCGGCGGCTTCTGTAGATGTGCGCACTGTGAAGGCAGTCATTTCTTGCCCTGCTGCATTGGTTACACATACAGCATGGGCTGGCTTATGCGGATACGGGGACGCGTCGGTGTATCTTGCACTTGGGCTATCGCCGTATTTGGTGTTCATGGTTCGTGCTCTAGCGATGCGCCGAGCCTCGTTGTAAACCGGATGCATGTTCTTAGGGATCTGGGCTACACGAATAGCTTTTCTTAGATTCAGAGGTACGCGTTCTTTGTGGTCTTGCAAGGAAGGTGTCGTGTAGCCTAACTTTCCCAGTGTTGCTCGTCCTGGTAGTTGTTAATTTAAGGCGTTTTAACTGGGAGTTGTGATGTGCCTCTTGTACCTCTTCTCAGGTGTTGTGAATTCCTAGTAGCAACAAATTCTTCGTTGAAGTCTTGGGAGGTATAGTCCTAAGGCGGTCTTGTATGCTTGGCGC